ATTCTGCTAAGGTCTTCTATGTCCAACTTTCATACACATATGAGATGAATAAAAATACCATGGCTTGTGTCAGGGGCACCTTAGTTCTCAAACTGACACCTCTGTTCTTGAACACTTTAACGAGATCTTTTCCAGTAGATTTGCCTAATGCAATGTGTCATTTGATTTCTTGGCTGCTGCTTCCATAAATAATGACAATAGAAGATCAATGCATTTGAATTATGGTATTGGTGATGAATACTGAAAATACCATGAACGGTCAAAAGAACAATGAAATCTATCTTGGAAGGAGTACAGCTAGGATGCTCCTTAGAAGTGAGGATGCTGAGACTGTCTTGTATTCTCTACAGGTTGTCAACATAGAACAGTCCCTAGAAAAGGACATTTTGATTGGTAAAGTGAAGGGCTAGGGGAAAGAGAAGACCTTGAAGGAAATGGACTGACCTAGTGGCAGCAACAATGGGCTTAAACAGAACAACAATTTTGAGGATGGCACAAGACTGAGCAGTGCTTTGTTCTGTTGTGTATAGGGTCACTATGAATCAGAACCGACTCGACAGCACCTAACAACAACATAATTACTAACAGGTATAAGTACATCCTTTGCAGTTAATTATCCATGCATCCAGACTGAAAGCTTGACCAATTTTCAAACAGAAAAATCTGGTTGTATTCTTTCAGTTCATCATTAATGACTTTAGTGGTTGGTGTGTAAATCTGAATAATAGAACTGTTAATGGATCTTCCTTGTAGGCATATGGACATTATCCTATTACAGACAGCACTGTACTTCAAGATATCTCTTGAAATGCTCTTTTCTATGATCAACATGATGCCATTTTTCTTCAGTTTGCAATTCCCGGCATAATTAAACACACAATTAGCTGATTCAAAATGGTCACTACCAGTTTATTTCAGCTCATTAATGCCTAGGATGTCAATCTTTATGTGTTCCATTTATATTTGATGGCTATCAATTTTTCTAGATTCGTACTTCTTATATTCCACATTCTGATTATTAATGGATGTTTGCAGCTGTTTCTTTTCACTTTGAGTTGTGCCCCTTCAGCAAATGAAGGTCTAGTAAGCTTTGCTCCATCCACATCATTAAGGTCAATTCTACTTTGAGGAGGCAGTTCTTCCCTAATTGTATTTTAAGGGGCTTCCAACCTGAGGGGCTCATCTTTGGCCACTATATCTGACAATGTTCCACTGACATTCATAAGGTTTACAGTGGCTGATCATTCAGAATTAGTCTCTCTCTCTTTTAAGCACTGCTAAAACCTGTCTATCAGGAGTGACCCTGCTGATATTTAAAATACCAGTGACATAGCTTCCAGCATCATAGTAACACACAAGTCATCACAGCATGACAAACCGACAGATGTGTGGTAATGATAATTATCATAATGAGTAATTACAGACTTAATAAGGGAACTATCTGTTTAGACGAGGGAAACATAGCACCAGACCTTTCTTCCGAGTCAGTCTGGAATCTGTTTAACACCATAGCAGCACACAAGCTTCAAACGACATATGGTTAGTGGCTATGCATGAGGTGCATTGTCCAGGAGTCATGCCCAGGGCTCCTCCATGAATGGTGTGCATTCTACTACTGTTTAAGATGGGAAAGACTGCACTAGCCTGATTTATTAAAGTGCTGGTCATTGCAAAACGAGAATCTGAAGCTACAGAAAACAATGAATGCGTTTCAAAGCAGCAAGAGGGGGATTATTAATAGTTACACCTTTCACTGAACTAGAAGGAAAGCATAGATATGCTGATGTTTCAAAGTAGAAAAGAGAAAGTAGAAAGTTTTACATTAATGGGCTTAGGTTTCAAAGACAGAGAAGGAAGCAAATTCATTTCTAGGAAATGAAGACAGAGATAGTTTCGAGAGGTAAAAATCTTCAATGTGAATTAGATAGATAGATAGTTCATTGGTGGTGGTGATGGTTATGCGCCATGGAGTCAGTTCCAACTTATAGCGACCCTGTACAGGGTTTCCAAGGCTGTGAATCTTTACAGGAGCAGACAGCCTCATCTTTCTCCCGCGGAACAGCTGGTAGTTTCAAACTGCTGACCCTGAGATTAGCAGCCTGAGCTACGGATCTGCATGTCTTTGTGATCCTTTTATTGAAATAGTAATATAGGTTTGCTAGATGACCATGGGGAAGGAGCTCTGGTAGTGTAGTGGTTATGAATTGGGCTGCGAACCACAAGGTCAGCAGTTGGAAACTACCAGCTGTTCCGCGGGAGAAAGATGAGACTATCTGCTCCTGTAAAGATTTACAGCCTCGGAAACCCTGTACAGGGTCGCTATGAGCTGGAACTGACTCCACGGCACACAGCCACAGCCAGATGACCGTGAGAATTCCTGGTGTGGTGCTGTACGATAAGTACTAGACTGCTAATCACAAGTCAGTGGTTCAAACCCACGTCACTCCCTGGGAACCCTACACAGGGTTGCTGAGTCAGAATCAATTTGATGGCATGCGGCGGCAGCAGATGACTGTGACAGAAGGCTAAGAAAGAGTTCATAATAGATGAATGTTTAAAGTGATAATTCATGTAGTCTGAAATGGATCTGAAAGGGAAACCGTGAAGTACAATGTAGACTTCAGAAAATGGAGCATGGATTTTAAATGAGTCTAAAAAAGCAGGTGAGGGTAATAGAATGAGAGAGAAGTATAGGACATTGTGGGCAAGTGGAATTTCATGGGTGGGGTATAGCCATGGGTGTGGATTCAAAGTGGAATTGGAGTTGAAAAAGGAACTATAGAGTTACAATGCTTGATAAACTACTCAAAAGGTTAATCCATTAAATTATAAAAAATGATTATCAAGATTTGGTAATTAGTGCCAGGAAATTAAGAGCCAAAAAGAATATATTTTCCAAAGTATAATCACAGAATAGTTTAAAATGCAAAAGACTCTGCATCAGAATTTTCATTGAATCTGTGTATAGCAACCAGGAGAACATGATATTAAAGACCAAATGGCAATATAAAGGAGCCTGGTAGTACTTCAGGATAAGCACTTGCATGTTAACTACAAGTCTGGCAGTTCAAACCCACCAGAAAGAGAGAGAGGAGGCTTTCTGCTTCCATAAAGATTTATAGCCTTGGAAACCCTATTGGGTTGTTATGCATTGTAATATACTTGAAGGCAGTGGGTTTTAGGTTTTAAAAGATAATTTTAGGTTTTAAAAGCTTAGATGGTACAAGCCTCAAAGGAAGTGGTTTTATAAGACAGTGGAGAAACAATGATTGCAACAGGAAATATAAAACATGAGGACTGTTTCCCCCAATTCTAGGTGGTACTTAGTAAGAAACTGAGTTTCTACAGCAGTGAGCAGCAAAAAATAATCTATGGAATCTAGTCTACTGCATCTTTTTGTAAATAAAATTTTACTGGAATACAGCCATGTTCACTAGTTTTTATACTTTGTAAATGGTTTAAAATTTCCTTTTTTAATTTTGGGGGCGGATTGTGGCTGTGTAGGATAAACACTGGACTGTGAACCACAAGTTCAGCAGTTTGAGTCAACTAGATGCTCTAGAGGAGAAAAATGAGGCTTTCTGCTCTTGCAAAGATTTATAGCTTTGGAACCCTATACAGGGTTGCTATGAGTTGGAACTGACTCAATGACACTTAACAACAAAAGCATGATTGGATTGTTTACATGCTATAATGGCATTGTTCATAGTTGCAACACACATTGTATGGTCCACAAAGCCAAAATATTTACTATCTAACACATCAGAGAAAAAGTTTGTCAACTTCTCCATAGCTAGGTGAGTGGGGAGGGATGGAGTAAGAAATATCTAAGTTTTAGCTGAATCCACTTTTAGAAGGAAGTGAGTTGAAAGAGTATTCACCGAAGAAGAACAAGATGAGTGCAGTGTGTTCCCCTCACAATGAAGATTTCCATGGACACAACAGGAAATATGCTGGAAGGACATTAGTGCAAAGATGAGATGGTAGGAAATGGCACAAAGCAACATGGAGACCACATGACTGCAGTGGCATGGAATACAACATGACAGGAATGAAAAACAAGGGAGCTGGGTTTAAGATTCCTTATTCCCACTTCTGTTAGAACACATATCAAGATGATTCAGACAGAGACTGAGTGTTCCCAGAGGCCAGTGTAACACTGTTTGTGATTTAGTCAGCAATCTTTGATTTTAACCCAGGCTTTAAAAAGAGCACCGTAACTTCAAAAATCTGAGACAAAAATGGAGATGGAGATGAAAAAGGCGCAGTTGTGGATGTTAGACTGTAAAAACTTGTGATTCCTCATATATGTGAAATAGAGAATATATCTAAATAATCAGTTAATTTAAGAAATGAGTAACATGAATCATCCTATAGTGAGAATTTAGAAATGCATTATCTATTAATAGTTTACTGACATTTTGTAGAAATACTCGATAATCTCAGGATGTAGTTGTTGTTAAGTGCTGTTGAGTCAGTTCTAACTCAGAGTGACCCTGTATAGGGTTTCCGAGACTTTAAATCTTCAGGGGAGCAGAAAGCCTCATGTTACTCCCACGGAGTGGCTGGTGGGCTTGAACTGCCCTTGTGGTTTGCAGTCGAGTGCTTATTGTATGAAGCCACTACACATCCCAGTCTCAGAATAGAAGGATGAAAGAAAAGATGGGATTGGGGGCCGCAAGGACAGAATGCAAGTTTAAAAACAGAGCCCAATTTATAATTGGCACTAAAATAAAAATGCTAAAATTTTAGGATAATTTCAAAGTAGGGATACAGTTCATTGAAGATTACTCCAATTATGTGAATAAACCCAAACAAACCTAAGGAACATTCGGTCAATTGCTTAGTCTTAATTGTGACTCTATCATTCATCATTTAGAAATTACAAAGAATATTTTTCAATCATCATGTATTTAGAATGTTTATAATTTATTTTCCAAAGGTTTAATTAAGAAAAATGTCTCATTAGCGTATTCCCCAAACCATTATTATATACTTGCCTGTTTTCTTACTAAGCTTGTATAAGAAAGTTTGGCGAGGGTCTGAATGATCTCGACATGTCAGCTGCAAAAGAGAACCTGATTTTTTCCATTTCTGCATAAACCAGAGACCTAGAACATGACAGATGTCTGTGAGTATAACTGGAAATGCATAAAATGTATCAAATTTATTAATTTTAATGTATTATATTTCATTCCAAAATGATACCTCTTACATTAAAATTCTGTTGACCAGTGAAAAATGTATTTCCATGTACTGATGGCAAATACAAGTGAACTCATATATACATATTTTAAGAAGGTCAACAGTGGTTGATGGAGGGCTTGCTGTTTCAATCTCATTCAGTAATGTAATAGATAATGGCATATGAAGAACAAATCTGAGAAAATTGTCCCTTTATATATATTCACTCAAACTGTAAAGAAGCAGAAGGGGAAATCCTCAAATAAGGGTTCTTGTTGTTAAGTGCCTTGGAGTCAGTTCTAACTCATAGCAACCCTGTACAGGTTTTTGAAGATTCAAATCTTCACCAGAGTAGAGTCTTATCCAGTGAAGTGGCTGATGGGCTATCACCACAAACTCTGTGGTTCAGTGCTTATCCACGTTCCCCTAAATGAAGGTAATAAATCCAAATGTCTAAATATTGTCAGTCAATAGATAACTACAGTTAAGTTAAAGTAGACTAATTGTATAAGGACCAACTCTTTAAATGAACAATTGGTTCATTCAAAGAAAAGAGCTATTTTCTAATAATTGTTGAACTTCACAATTAATTTTACTTTTCATTTAATTTCATATTTAATTCAATTACCTTATATAATCAATTCCCATATATAAATGCATCTTCCCCTTAAGGAACTTAAATGAAGTCTCAATTGTTAGGAACTGTTCCTGAAATTATGGAGTTCTCATTTCCATGTTCACTGCTAGTAACATTACAGAGAAATGCATGGCAGGGAAAGAAAACAAAACAAAAAGAAAAAGCCCAGGACACTTAGCAGATTAAACCTGTTGCAAGCATATATGGAAAAAAGTTTAGTGAAGAAAGAAATTTAAAGTACTGTACCTTACTCATATTTAGGTACTGTTTTATATTATTTATGGATTTCATTTGCTTTTGAAACTGTACAAATCTCGAACTAGCTATTTGAATATCAATTTGATATGAGATACAAAGAAAATGGTATGGTTTATTTGTCAATAAAAGTTAAACAAAAAAGAATATGGAAAAAAGAGTTTTAGGGGCTCATTGAAAAGAGACAGAGTAAAATCAACTGAATAACTTATAAACCATTAAAGGAATAAATCTAGCAAAAATACCAAATGAAAGTGAAATCAAGTAACAGATATTATTTAACATAAATAACACAATGAGATTATTTATGACACTCAGTAAGAGAATACTCATTTTCTGAAATAACTTATCAGTTTTTATATGAAGTACAAAATGTAAAAATAGCTACATCATTGAATTCATGATATTACAAGTATGTGACAAGTTGGTACCAAAATAAACAAAAATATTGTTTAATATTTACCCCCATGCTAGTATGCTGCACATTTTGTACAGTAAAATAAAACTTTTTACCTGTGTTAACAAGAGCACTGCTATTGTAGAGTGTACCAAGGTGAGGTCCAGAGAGAGACAGAAAGGTATGAAGTTTGTTGAGGTAATATTTAAATCTTGGCCTTGTAAGCACTGAACGAATTATTAAATTGCCCAATGAATGTCCAATAAAGCTTTAAGAAAAACAGAAAAAGTTAACATTCACCCCATAGCATTAGTTTTAAAAATAAAAATCAAACTAATATTACTATGTTGTTGTTGTTTGATGCCGATGAGTCAGTTACAACTCACAGCGACCCTATATACAGTTTCCAATGAGTGGTTGGTGGATTTGAACAGCCAACCTTGTAGCTCCAACCGACCTTGAGGTCCAGTGCCTATTCTACAGCACTACACACTAAACACAGATGTAAAATATTAAGAATTTGAAAATTTCTAATTTGTGCTAATAAGATTATGGGTTGATAATTTGAGATAATAAACATTTTGAAGAAAAAATTATGACAATGTTCTAAATTTTGCTAGAACATTCTTATAATTATGGAAGTCTCCAAAGTTTATAGAATTAAAACATTACATATCAAAAAAAATTTATCTATACTTTGTGCTTAGAAATAAATATATTTTAAAAGTAGTAATATGGTGACTAGATCATAAATATATTTTCTTGGCAAACACAAATTTTTTGCTTGGTAGAGCATGATTTCAAATGAAATAATGAAACTAATCTAAAAGATAACTTAGGAGAAACTATATACTAAGTTCTCTTATTCACTGGTCTACACTCCAAAGTGGAAAAGCTTTTCAAGCAGTAGCACTTTTCAAACACAGATAAAATATGTGCATTTTCGTACTTAAGTCTAAAACTTTATAAAAAGAGTAATATTTATAAAACATTTCATATTCATTGAGTCCATGGTTAGTGCAAATGGTGAATTGTTGTAGTTTGGTGCCATCGAGTTGGTACTGACTCATAGCAACCCTATGCACTGCAGGGTCCTGGGCCAACCTCACAATTGTTACCACACTTGAGTGAGTCAACTGATGCTGCCATGTTGCCAACCCATCTTGCTGGGGGTCTTCCTCTTGTTCTCTGACCCTCCACCTTACTAAACATGATATCCTTCTCCAGCGACTGGTCAAAACAAGGCCAGGGGCAGACTGTGGCACAGACCATCAACTGCTCATACGCAAACACAAACTAAAGATAAAGAAAATGAAAACAAGTTCACAAGAGCCAAAATATGACCTTGAATATATCCCACCTGAATTTAGAGATCCTCTTTAGAACAGATTTGATACATTAAATACTAAAGACCGAAGACCGAAGACCAGAAGAGTTGTGGGATGGTCAACCTTTTCAAGAGGTAGCATCTGCTCAAGAGCCAATGATACTCAGGGAGGAAGTCCAAGGTGCATTGAAGGAACTGGTAAAGAACAAGGTTCCAGGAATTGATGGAATGAAAATTGAAATCTTTCAACAAAGTGAGGCAGCACTGGAAGCATTCACTCATCTATGCCAAGAAATTTTGAAGACAACTATCTGTCCAACTGATTGGAAGAGATCCGTATTTGTGCCCATTCCAAAGAGAGGTGACCCAACAGAATGTGGAAATCATCGGATAATCTCTTTGATATCCCATGTGAATAAAGTTTTACTAAAAGTAATATAGAAACGGCTACAATCATACATTGACAGAGAACTTCCAGAGGTTCAAGCTGGATTCAGAAGAGGCCAGGGAACCAGGGATATCATTGCTGATGTCTGATGGATCTTGGCTGAAAGCAGAGAATATCAGAAAGATGTTTACCTGTGCTTTATTGACTATGCAAAAGCTTTTGATTGTGTGGATCATGACTAGCTATGGACAACATTGAGAAGTATGAGTATTCCTGAACACTTAATTGTGCTCAATTATATGTACAAAACCTGTACATGGATCAAGAGGCAGTTGTTCGAACAGAACATGGGAACACAGAATATTTTAAAATTAAGAAAGGTGTGCAACAAGGTTGTATTCTTTCACCATACTTATTCAACCTATATGCTGAGCAAATCATCCAAGAAGCTGGCTTATATGAAGAAAAACATGACATCAGGATTGGAGGAAGACTCATTAACAACCTGCGATATGCAGATGATACAACGTTGCTTGCTGAAAGTGAAGAAGACTTCAAATATTTGCTGATGAAGATCAAAGACCACAGCCTTTGGTATGGATTGTATCTCAACGTAAGGAAAGCAAAAATCTTCACCACTGGACCAGTAAACAACATTCTTATCAATGGAGAAAACATTGAATTTGTCAAGGACTTCATTTTTCATGGAACAACTATCAACACTCATGGAAGCAGCAAAAAACAATGTATTGCATTTGGCAAATCTGCTGCACAAGACCTTTATAAAGTGTTGAAGAGCAAAGACGTCAGCTTCAGGACTAAGATGAGCCTTACTGAAGCCATGGTATGCAAAAGCTGGACAGTCAATGAGGCAGACTGCAGAAGAATTGATGCTTTTGAGTTATGGTGTTGAAGAAGAATATTGAAGGTTGCCAAAAGGACAAACAGATCTGTATTGGGAGAAGTGCAGCCAGAGTGCTCCTTAGAGGCCAAGATGGTCAAACTTTATCTCTCAAACTTCGGACCTATTGTCAGGAGAGAGCAGTCACTGGAGAAGGATATCATGTTTGGTAAGGTGGAGGGTCAGAGAAAAAGAGGAAGACCCCCATCGAGATGGATTGGCCAAGTGGCAGCAGCTACATTAGGTATTACTCGAAAGACTGAAAGTTTGAGTCTACCAGAAGCATGTTGGTAGAAAGTTCTGGCAATCTATTTTTGAAAAGTCAGCCTACAGGCCGTCCAGCTGACAAGAAGAGAGGGCATATACACAAGAACACCCACACTTGCAGATAATACCTACTAGACCTGGCTTCAATGACTGGATGATCAGAGCTCAACTAGAAGAAGAAAGAAGAGGAAGAAAAAAAGTAATCTGATACAATTTGATGAACTTGACCTACACCTATGGATTCAGTAGCTCAAAAGAGGGAATAAATCTTCACAGTGAGGATCATTCCCACCCCTTCCATATACAGAGTAGACAGGGATGGGCAACTTGGACATTGGCTACCCAAAGTGGGGGTGCTAAAAAGGCAAGAAGTGGCTTACAAGATTTCAAGAGGGAACCTAGGTACAGAGGATGTGGAAGAAGGTAGAATCTCCTCTGAGTAGTGCCCAATCTGTCTAGGCGAGACTGATGAAAGAAAATACGGATATGTAAATGAATAAATAAAAGACCACAGTAGAAAATTCAGTAAACCCAAAATATTTTTGAAAATTTATAAATGAAGAGATTAGAACAAGGGAATATCCTCTCCTCTCCCTCAAAAAATTCACACAATTCTAACTCTCCCTATATTTTGACAGAAATGAACTGTTTATTAAAGGATTGCCAAGGAACTGAAGAAAGCCAGGGGGCTGAAGAAGTTGAAAGACACAAGGATCATCTCTTAAAATTGACAGAAAAAGATGTGCCTTTTCCTAGAGCCTGAATTTGGACTTCTTGTCTCCCTAATTGTGAGAAAATAATTTTCTATTGTTAAAGTCACTCACTTGTGGTATTTGTTACAGCATCATTATGAAACTAAGATGTCATATAATTCACCAATTATAATGTACAATTAAATTATTTTTAGTATATTCAGTTATGCAATCATCACTACAATCAATTTCAGAGTATTTCCTTATCTCAAAAAGTAACCCAGTAATCCTATTTTGCCACCTCCTTCAGCCTGAGGAAGCCACTAACCCACTGTCTGTTCCTACAGATTTGTTTATTATGGATATTTAGTAAATATGGAATCCTATAACATGTGGACTTTCCCTATAGTCTTTTTTTTTTTTAAGTTTTTATTTTATTGAGTGAAAGTTTGCAGGGCAGATCATCAGTTTTACATTCAGCAAATCATATACTTTGTTTCATATATATACTGTGATTATAATCCCCCCATGTACCATCAGTTAACAGTATTTCTCTCCATTCATTTTAGCTCTCTTTTTAAAATTGTGATGGTCATAATTGGTTATGATAACAATTACTCACTATTGAATCATAAGAATCTTAACCCCATTTCTTCTTACCAGACCCATCTAGACAAGATGAACACTATTCAGTGAAGACTCTATCTTCCTCTGCATACTCTTATCCCTATGGTGGTGGTGGTTATGTGCCGGGGAGTCAGTTCCTACTCATAGTGACCCTGTACAGGGTTTCTGAGTGTGAATCTTTATGGGAGCAGAAAGCCTGATCTATCTCCCACGGAATAGCTGATAGTTCGGAACTGCTGACCTTGAGGTTCGCAACCCAATTCGTACCCACTAAGCTACCAGAGCTCCTTAGTTTTTTATAACTATATATTTACTTCATAAGTGGTTTGAGTTTTGTCTCTTATATTTCCAAATATGGCAACAAAACTACCACAAATTCTGTTTCAATAAATCACAAGTATATAAAAAGAAATTGTACGACAGTATAGAAATTACCTTATTTTTGAGACTGTTAGACTATATATCTGAATATATTGTATTATCTCATCCAGGAGGCGATCAGTCATGCTATCAAAATCGGCAAAGGTATCATTCTAAAAAAAATGCAAAATGGACACATTATGTATTGAAAGATATGTAATGACATAAAAACACTAACTGAATACAAATATTAATTGCTATAAAAATATGTTGAAGATCAGTATTTCCTAGAGAAATTAGTGGATGCAATATTTATTATATCATATTTAACAAAAAGAGTAAGTTTCTAGGAAAAAAAATTAATGTCTTTATTAACATTTGCTTCATTTAGTCAATTGTATGATCCTTTCACCTTCTACCAGCAATAAACTTTAAGACCTTATAATGGTTTAGTTAATGAATCAATTGCATAAAATGTGAAATTCTAAAAAAATCTCATATGTAAAGAGAATTTGTAAATCAACGTATAAATCATATAGATTTTCTTTTGGTATATATTTATGTCAAATAATATTGAAATAAAAAATAATGATTTCTACGACTACAGGCATTTTGTAGTAAGCAAATTTTTAGATAGGAACTGATACCGAAATGTTTGTTTCCACTGAAAAAGTATCACATTGTACCTGATTTCTCTCAGACATGAGAAAATCAATTCTTCCTCCAGGCAGTCCAAGTTCAATATAAGTTTTTACTAATCGAAGATCTGCACTGTTACCTAGAAAAAGAAAAAAAAAAATATTTAAATGATGGGGCGAAATAAAAGGCACAAAGCGCATCATCATTTATTTTGTATAGTATCTGAAGACCAGTTTAGGTCTTATGACAGTTGTGAATAGATAATGCATTCTGAAATAAGGATGGGACGTCTCAAATTTTATGATAAAGCTGATTTCTATTAGCTAGACAATGTCCTTCTATAGTTTTTGTCTTCAGGGAGGTTTTGGTCACATTGATGTTTTCTAACTACTGGTATACTTGTTTAAACTGTTAGTAAATCAGTTTTGTGACTGCTGGCTATGGCAGCTGTGAATGACCGGCCAACGGCTCTTGAACATCACCTTTCTGGTGATTATTTAACAAACCTTGAACGTATTTTATTTTTTTAATTAAACTCTGTTTATTAAACTTTGGAGTGAAGGTTTACAGACCAGATGATCAGTTTTACATTCAACAAATCATACACTTTGCTTCATTACATGGTTGCAATCCCCTCCATGTACCAACAGTAAACAGCATTTATCTCTATTCACTTTACTACTGTATTTCTTCCTTGTCTCCTGCTACCTTCATCTTTTCTCTGCTAACTTCCCTCTTGTTGTATATTACCTTGCTGTCACTATGTTAATAAGTGTCTACCCCCTAGCTCATGAATAATTCCAACCTCCCTTACCCACCCGCGCTGACCATCATAGATGGTTTCTTTTATCAAGAAAACCTTTTTTTGGTTTTTAAACTTTTTGTAACATTGGTCTCATACAATGTTTGTCCTTTTGTGACTAATTTCACTCAACATAATGTCCTCCAGGTTTAACCATGTTGTGTTTCAGGTTCATATTCTCCAATGTTTTGTAGTATTCCATTCTGTGTATGTACCAGTTTGTTTAACCATTCTCCTGTTAATAAGCATTTAGGCTGTCTCCATCTTTTTGATATGTCTTTTGTAGACAGCATATTGAAGGATCTTATTTTCTTATCCATTCTGTTCTCTATGTTTGACTGGGGCATTTGCTCCATTTACATTCAGTGTAATTATTTATAGGTCTGAATTGATTGTTGTCAATTTTGTGTGTGTGTGGTGCTGCTGAATTCTTTGTTCCACATAATTTTCTATACTAAATTCATTTTGTTTTTGAATCTTTTCATTTCTATAGTATTCATGGTTTCCTAAATCTTTATTTTCCTCTTTAAAAAATTTTGATGTACAGGTGTGTTATTTTTCTCTGAATGTGTTTTAAAATAGATTTAACCATTTCACTTTTCCTCTGGTGATAATGGTACAGACTGAGAGAAAACAAAATCCAGTTAACTGTTCTAAAACAGTTAATTTACTGTTGATGCTAACTGCAGTCAAGTCGGTTCCGACTCATAGTTACTCTGTATAGAGTTTCCAAGGCACAAATGTTGGGTTTGAACAGCCAAACTTGCAGTTAGCAGTCAAGTACTTATCCTACAGTGCCATACCAAGACTCCAAAAATAGTTACTAATAGTATAAAAATATCACTATTAATTGTTGAATCTTTATCTTTTCAATTTATATCTTTTAGATACTTTATGAATTAAATATATGCACTGAGAGATTATTTTATACCTGATCTTAAACGAAACACCTCCTCATTTTACTATTATGTACAACTTTTACACAAAATGAAAAACATATAAACTTATTCCTACTAAAGAACTAGGCTAGTCCTATTTAAAGTTTGGCGCTTGTTTTTACCAAGTCTCTTTGAGTTGGTTTTGACTCACAGTAACTGTACAGAGTTTCCAAGGAGTTGCTGGTGGGTTTGAACTGCCAACTTAATGGTTAGCAATCTAGTGCTTATTCTACTATTTAATTAATAGTTTCTTACTTGATTCTCTGATATTTTGTTATTAAATTCATCTTTGCATTCTGGAGATTAAAGCCTATGTGTTCTAGTCACTTATTTTAGCATCTTAATTCTATCTGCTAGATTTTATTAAGTATATTAGTGACATATTAGTCTATTGTATTTTCGAGTATTAATGTAATATCCTTATTAAATTTGGTAATAAGTTTAGGCTAACTTCTATGAATAACATGGGCTGCTGTGGTACAGTGAATTTACTTAATAAGACTTTTCTATCCAAAATCTTCTTAACTCTCACCAAATGACTGGATACCATACAAATAGGTTGTACAGGACTCTAATGCCAGGACTGGTTAGTTTTGCTATCCTGCTAAGATTAAAAGGAGCCATAACAGAAGCAGGAACAAATGACCCTAGGACCATCAAGAAAGAAGAGCATGAGCAGAGCATGAGAGGTGACAGAAAAGGAGGCAGCATAAAGAGACAGAGCAATTTTGTGCTTCCTGGTCCATGGACTGAGTAAAGCTGAGAGCTACAAGGCAGGAAACTGGCTTGCACAATGTACCCTTTGGGCATCCACAGCCTGGCTAAAGGAACTTTTTAACCCTGGCTCAAGCATGACAGAGGCTGAGAAGCCGCATGGCTGAGAGACATAAGACAAGAGCGAGGTGTGTCTGCAATATGGCAGAGAAGAGACATTCCTAACTGGAGAACAGCTACATCCTGAGGTTTTCCTGTTCCTGAATTGTACCCAATTCATTTCCCTAATTGTTGTTGTTATGTGCCGTAGAGTCATTTCCGACTCATAGCGACCCTGTACAGGGTTTCCCAGGTTGTAAATCTTTACGGGAGCAGACCGTCTCATCTTTCTCCTGCAGAACCACTGGTAGTTTCGAACAAAATCCAGTTAACTGTTCTAAAACAGTTAATTTACTGTTGATGCTAACTGCAGTCAAGTCGGTTCCTGATTCCTAACAAGATCCATAATTTTAAGTATTGTCTATGAGTTCCATATGGCTATTACAATAGATTACTGAAGGCAGATATGAAGCAGAAAGTATTGTGGGAGGGATGACTGGTGTCAGAGAGGGAAAAGAAGGCTGAAGAGTAGAGGTACTGTATGACCTCAGTCTCAGGGAAATCAGCATATATGAGCTCTGGTAGCGCAGTAGTTACGAATCGGGCTGCGAACTGCAAGGTCAGCAGTTCGAAACTACCAGCCGCTCTGCGGGAGAAAGATGAGGCGTTCTGCTCCCACAAAGATTAACAGCCTCGGAAACCTGTACAGGGTTGTTATGAGTCGGAACCGACTCCACAGCACATAACAACAACATATATATATATTATTACTTCTTGTAGTTGAGCTCTTTCATCCAATCATTGAAGCCAGGTCAAGTGGGTATTATATATAAGAATACTGTGGGTGTTCTCATGCATATGCCCTCTCTTCTTATCAGCTGGACGCATCACTCTCCATTCTAGTTCTCTGTGGCTATGTCACTGACTGTGGGCTCAATAGTTCCCAGGTCTTGCCACACTGCTGGCCAATCAGGTCTCCACCCAGGTTCACAGGAGTCTATTGAACGTTGTAGGGCTCAGCTTGCAGCTTCATTTCTGTTTTTCCCTCACTTCCTCTTATCGGTGATGAATGTGGTCACCAATCAGAATGTGTATTCCCATTGATTCTTAGTCTTAGAAGGGGGTTTGCCTTGAGGGGACCCAACCACTTGGCTTGATGTCTCCTGGGCGAACAACTTGCTTGTTCTTGTAGTAATCAGTTGGACTGCCTATACTGTTTTGTAGCCATATTTTATTCTTATTGTTCTGGAACAATTTTTATAACACAAGAGTAATCTATTTCTTGAAAATTTCAAAAAAGAATTTGTCAGATTACACTGGGACAAGAGGTCTTTTTTGGGGAAAATTATTTGAAAATTGTATAATTTGGGGATGTGGTGTTACTGAAGGTATTATATTTCCAGGGATTTTTTTTTTTTTTGGTTAAACAAAAATCTCCAATTTACTAGCAGAGACTTAGTATTCTAATAATTATCAAAATTCTTTTGTCAATTTGTTGTTACAAAATCACACACTATAGTGACACACTGATAGTTTAGGGATATGTAGTATTTTCTAGAATAGTTCCTATATCTAGAAAAATAGTTGGTTGAGTAATGAAAATACAGTTATGAAACCAAAGCATTAGAGTCCGGTATTTATAATTTAGAAGCCCTGGTGGTACAGTGGTTAAGCACTTGGCTGCTAACACAGAAAGGTTAATAGTTGGAACCCACCAGCTGCTCTTCAGAGAAACATGGCAGCCTGCTTCCATCAAGATTTACAGTTTTGAAAATGCTATGAGACAGTTCTACTCTGTCCTGTTGGGTTGCGTGAGTTACAATCGACTTGATGGCAATGGATATTTATAATGTAATTATATGTTAAAAATAGTTAGTGAAACTTTAATTCTTAAAAATATTGGTTTTACTAGGTCAAAGGGTTAACGCAGCTACCAAAAACTAGAACTAGGACTATTATCTGAGAGAAAATATTAATATGAGGTGACTGTTGACGAGACTAATAATCAGAGAGAAGACTAGAAAACTCTAAATTAAAATAGTAAAATGTTGTCAAGTGGATGCCATTTACATGGAAAATGTATTTAAAAAAATTAAATTGAACAAACTTAGCAAAGTTAAGCATATTTTTGTTTTAGAATATACTGATGATTTAGTTAACTAAAAATATTTTTTTCCATTCAAAGATTAAATAAGACTAAAACAAGATCTATTACAAAAAGTAACTATATTGAGTTGCTATGAGTTGACATCAAAAGACACCACATACCATCTAAACCATGTACGCAGACAATAAGATGTACTCCATCTTCAGAACTATCTTCTTCTTCCACACTAAAATAAGGTACTGAAGATGCCAGCAGAGGAACATCACTGTACATGAACCCTGGCAGTCTAAGTTGCTTCAATTCTTCCTTTGCCTGAAGGAAACTGAAGTAAAAACAATTGTAAAAGATAATCACTTTACTAAACAATATACACTCAATTGTTAGAACTAAAAAGCAAACCTACTGAATTTAGAGAATTACAAAGGTAGGATTCCAATTTAAAATCATACAAATATGTGGAATACTTAACTGACTTAGAAATTGGAAACTTGTAATTTCAAAAGAAGATCCAAACACTATAGCAGTGTAATTTTCTTTACTATTTTTAATATGTTATCTGATCTAGTACAATGAACACTTTAAACTTGAAATCACTTAATAATCTTTAAATTTGAAATCAACTAAGAAAATATCAAGAGCAGTATTAGGCTTTCTACAAAATTTTAAACTATATGCATGTGAAAGGTTGGAGAGATGCTGGAAAAATTATAATCTGATGCTTGCCCTGTATCAAATCTATCCTCTTCTTTTTAGTCTTACATAAATGAAAGGAAAGGAGACACTCTACAAAGTTCAAAAATGAGAATGGTTACTGTTATTTTACTTAGTGATAACCAGTTAACATCAAGTCAATTCTATCTTATGGAGACCACAAATGTGTCAGAATGGAACTGTACTCCACAGAGTGCTCAACTGTTGATTTTCTGGGAAGGAGATTACCAGGTGTTTCTTCTGAGACACCTCTGGGTGTATTCAAACCTCCAACCTTCAGTCAGCAGCTCACTGTATTAAGTTTCACCACCCAGGGACTTAAGCAGATTTTGGTATTTTTATTTTTCTAAAATACCATTGAGAAGGAATAGAACTAAGAAATGGATATGATTACATATAATTACTGGCACATAATAATTTGGAATGAGTGGCAAATTTAACCAATATGAAGACTGCACATACTAAAAATGATTAACTGTTTAACGTATCATTTGGACTGACAAAAGTAAAATTCAAATAAGTTAATGAACACTAAACTGAGGAAGATACGTTAGGTAAATACACATAGACCACTGTTTTCCTTAATGACTTTTCCAAAAAACATTGTGAGGAACCAGAAGCTGATATAAACCTCAATTCAACTACCTCAACTTTTTTGATGCCATTAACTCAGCAGTTTCAACAGCCTTGCTACTATGGATCTTAGTTAGATGCAAACCCCACTGCACTGAGTTGATTCTGACTCATAGCCTCCCTGTAGGACAGAGTAGAACTGCTCCTTAGGGCTTCTGTGACTGAGATCTTTATGGGAACAGACAGCCTCATTTTTCTCTGGTGGAGTGGCTGATGGGTTTGAACCATTAATCTTATGGTTACCCAATACACTACCACAGCTCCTTTAATTTGGGGACTGGAATATTTTGAGAGTCAGTGCTAAATTAGTAACTCTATGTCATCCCCTCGATTTTTCTGGATAGGTATTGATAAATAAAAATTCAGGAAACCCCAGACTTAGATAAATCTTTAGTCTGGTAGACTTAGTTTCTAGTAATCTGCTTTATTGTTTAATATTGTCCTTATTCCTGAAACTACCAGTCACTCCGCGGGAGAAAGATGAGGCTTTCTACTCCCGTAAAGATTTACAACACCCTCGGAAACCCTGTACAGGGTCGTTATGGGTCGGACCCGACTCGATGGCACTTAACAACAACAACAACAACATTCCTGATATATTTATAAGGATTTAATCTCCATGATCTAATTAGGAATGTATGCTCTATAGAATAGGAGCTCTGTGGTTCAGTGGTGAAGCGCTTAGATGTTAATCAAAAGGTCAGAGGATTGAACTCAGCAGAGGCTCCATTGGAGAAATAGATGGCAATCTGCTATTGTAAAGATTACATTCTTAGAAACCCTCTGGAAAGTTCTACTCTGTCCTATGGGGTCACTGTGAGTCAAAAAAGATTTGACAGCAAGTGGTTTGGTTTAGCAGATAGAACAGGACAAACATTCAGGGAACTACATGTCTGTCTGTCAAAGAGTATATATTGTGCTCACATTTCCATTTTCAATGGCTAATCAAAGTAGCACTTTTTATATTACAGAGACCAGAGGATAAAACAGACATTAGTCCCTTTTGTACTACTTATGATAGGAATGATGATATATATATATGTATCATTATAAACCATCAGTACATACCATTGTTCCATTACTTACGCTTGTATTTGAGGTTTTGGTGAATTTTCATACCAGGAAAATGATGAAGTAAAGTTGTAAGAAGTGCTGCTTGGCTGTTTGGTAATGGCATCAAATTTACTTTTAGAAGAATATTTAACACTACAAGGAGACTCTCGTGGTGCAGATGGGAAAGACAAACAACCAGAAGTGCAGACAGCAGGCATATTTATACCATCCCTCAAATAGTCACTGTGCATTTTTTCAGGTTTTATAAGTTTCTCTTCTACTAGTGCATCTCTGTTTGGATAGTGAGCATTCACTGTTTCATCCAAAGCTGAATAATCAGTTTCTTCATGATACCCATTTTGAACCATTTGTTGGTCCTGCTCTTCCTCCTCATCCTCTTTATTTTGTTCGGGCTGAAGACTAGTAATTTCCTTTTCAAAAGTTTCCTTCTTAGAACCAAAGGAATTGCTGTAGCTAATAGCATAGGTTTCAGAAATGTCTGTACTGCTTTGAGAACCAAAATAGTTTTCCACAAGCCCTTGCTTTACTATATCAGTAATGGCTGAAAAAGAGTCACCTGTACCCAGATGACTTTCACTTTCAACTGAACAGACATCTGAACATACTTGTTTGAGACTTAATGCATCACTATTTATTCTTTTCATACTTCTAGATTCATTAAATTCTGTATTAGTAGAAACGGAACCTAAAACAACACAAGGATCTGCTAAACAAATCACTGATGAATTTAATGTAATTGCTGCCCCTGCAGAGTTTTTAGATTTATAAGGACTCTGAGAGTCTTTACACATACTGTCCAAGTTAGGTTTGGAACTGCTACTACTTTTCACATCTCTGGAAGTATCTTCATCTGAAAAAACAAATTGTAACGAGTCTTTAGTGCTTGAATTTAAGGAATGTATTGCTATAGTTTCACTGTCCAAATGCCCTGAAAATACAACACTCTGCTGTTGCAAGATAATACTTGACTTTTTACTATCATCACATTTTGGTAAATCAATTGTTCCCAAATTTAATACAGTTTTGCTGTCACTTAAATGGCACTCAGGTCCAACAGATTTCTTAGAATTTTCATCAGGTGACAGTTCATCATCAGAAGGTAACGAGTTTATTGATGTTAAAGATGACTGTATTTCACTTAAAGCACTTGTGCTCTCAGTGCAATGACTTTCTAATGAAAATTTTATGTTACAGTCAGGTTTCATCACAAGTTGAGGAAATAATCTTTCATTATTATAAGGACCTTGCCCCTGTACAGTTTCAAATACATCTGGGTTTGGATGTGTTGCAAAAGAACTTGGTTCACTTTCAACACCTGAATCTGAAAATCTAGATGAAGCAGTTGCAGCATTAATATCTGGTATCTTAATTGTATCTCCACTTACTATAACATGGTATTCTTTTATGGACGGAGTAGGTAGATTATTTCTTAACTTAGCTAACGAGTCTTCAACAGAACAACACTTTGCTTCCTTTAAAGCTTCCTTTTCAAGTGTTATTTCTATAGAATTAGATTTACCATTAGATTCTAACGATTCAATGTTGGATAGCTGTAAATTATCCACAAATATCTCATGTTGTCGTGGCTCTGTCCAATGTCCTATTTTAACAGTTATTTTCTCTCCCCTGAAGGGATCTTTATCACTTGGCTTTACTTCAATTGTTCTAACTCCCGAAGGTGGGGCTGTTTGATGATCATGGCAATCGTCTGATGAACTTCTGGATGCCAGATTGTGTTCCACTTGTGTAATTTCACTATCGTCTTGGGAGATATCAAGTTTACCTGAAATGGACAAATTTGCACAAAGATTTAGGCTGCCAGAGTTCAAAGGATCAAATTGGTTTGGTTGCACATTTTCAATATCTGGAGATTTTTGTTCAGTTCTCTCTGTATAGGCTGGCACATAGCTAGCTTCTTTTTGACTTGTCTGTCTGATGTAGGTCTTTGGGTCAAAATTACATCCACATATTGTGGGATCCAGACCTTCTTTCTGACTATGTGAAGGATTGCCTTCCAAGTATTTAGACAGATCATTTGATGCTGTACTTTTCAAACATCTGTAGCCTACCAAAACCACAGAATCCTTAGAGTTCTGTTTTATTAATTTTTTTGTGTGTTCAGATTTCATTGTTTTCATGAGCTTAGTAACCTTAACTTTGGATTTATTTGTTTCTTCATTCTTTCCTTTTAGACACTTTGTTAGCTGCTTTTCACCTTCTGTATACCAAATATTGGAGGCACCAGCAGGTCTGACTTTCACCTCTGGGCTAGAAAGTCCAGCTACAGAGCTTTCTTCAGTCTCATATTTATCCATTCTATTGAACTCTGGTCTCTGAAGATTCTGAATCTCCATCCAGGGTGCATCTAAGTCTTTTATCCAAAGAAAAAAAGATTCAGATTTAAAACAAGGTGCAAGAACTAGTATGATTAAGATTACTTTTTCTACTTATGTACAACCAAACACTGCATGGGATTTGGTTCCTTGGTTTGGAGGTTTAGGGTCATGGTTTTCTGGAATATTCCAGTTAAATGGCCTAATAATGTACTTAGTGCTTCTGTTCTAGCTCTTAGTTTGTTGCATAGTACCTGGAGTCTTAAAAGCTTGCAAGATGACATTCAAGGCACAACAATAACTGGTCTCTCTATTTACCTGGAGCAACGCAGCAAGAAGGAATGTCAGAAATAGGAGGAGGATATGGGATATATGGCTAACTGCCTCCATGAACAACTTGCTTCCTTAGCCATGAGACCTTGGATCAAAGATTCTATAGAAGAACTTTCATTAAAAAGGGAAAATGAAGAACAGATTCTCAAATTATCATGGACTCCAGACTTTCTGAGCCATGGAAGGTAGATAAACCCTAGAAACTGTTGCCCTGGGATAATCTTAAATGCGAAACCAAAAATACCCTCGAAGTCTTCTGAAAATCAAACAATACCATTGTTTAGCTTAACTAGTGAAAAAGGTCTGCTTTGAGCTTTATGCTTTTTCGAGAACTATTTATATGAGGTCAAACGGACAACAGCAACTCAAAAGATTACATAGAAACCTCAGTGGGCAGTGAGTTTATGATAATGGATGAATGGTTCAAAAAGGTAGATGAGAATAGTTGCATAACTTGAAGAATGCAATCAATGCCATAAATTGTACTTTCATAAATTGTTGAATTGGAGTATGTTTTGCTATGCATATTCTAAAAAACGAAATAAAATTTAGAAAAACAAAAAGACGATTTTTCTGACTATAATATTCCAATATTCTCAAAAAAGAAAAAAAGAAAAGAAAAAACTATAGGAGGAAAAGCTATTGCAGATAAGGGAATAGTTCTGTGTATATTAGGAAGCATATACTAAAAGTGATATAAATAACATTAGTTTCTGTTAAATTACACTTACCTTCAGTAACAGAATCTAAATACCTATCTTCAAAGATTATAGGTAATGAATTGAGATCTCCATCTAATTCACTACATTCAATAGGTAGGGGTGGAAGAGAATTGCAGAAGGAAGTATTTTTGATAGCGGTGCACATCTGTAGATGACTCTGAGCACTGAAAAATATTTATTTCTTAAGTCAGTCTGTAATAAAAAATTAGAAAAACTATACCCAGCTCCATTTACGAGCCTCTACCCCTTTTTCCTCAGCTCACTGTTCCTGCCCCCTGCCTAAAGACATAACCTTCCTTAGAGGTACTTCACTGGTGAGAGATGGAAAATTTTAAAATAAAAATTATGATCATTTCAAAAAAATTTTAATTAGAAACTAATGTCTTATTCTTAAAATAAGTATATAACAAACTATACAAATTAGCTAAATCAATTTATTTATTATTTAATTTCAATTATATTCTTGTATATTTTTTAATGTATTTCAAAGAGAATATCTATGCTTACTGTCTAAACTTCCTATCTTGGTATGAATGGTATATAAGAAAAAGATTAAATGTATTAAGTACCTACTAATTATTTTATGATAAATCAAAAACAAAACAAAACAAAACAAAAAAACAAACCCATATCAAACTCACTGTTACAGGTTGATTCTGACTCTCATAGTGACCATGTATAGAGTTTTTGAGGCTATAAATCTGTATGGGCGCAGGAAGTCTCATCTTTCTTCCAGAGTGGCTAGTGGATTTGAATGGTTGACTCTGTGGTTAGCAGTCCATTGACTACCCTACAGTACCACCAGAGCTCCTTTTTGATGACAATGTTAATTAAAAAAATGTGCTCTATCGCTCTTGTTCTACTTAACACATATGGATAAAATTAACTGTTGAAAACAGAACACATAATTTTCTAATTCAAAATAGTTAAAAAAACAAATGCCCTTTTAATGGAAAATTTCAAATAAATCAAAATAAAAAGAACAGTATATTATAGCATTTCAACTCAGCATCATTAACGTTTTGTTAACCTTTTTTTATCGAAACCTCTATCCACTTACCTACTCCCTTACTCTATTATTGATAAACAGATATTAACTGTGTGAGTTTGACAAATACATATACAATACAGAATATTTCTATCTACCTAGAGAGTTTCCTCAAGTCTTTCCAGGAAATCTCCCCAACACATATTTTACCCAACTCCCAATGAACAAACAGGTCTGACTTATTCCACTTTAGATTAGTTTGACCTGTTCCAGAACTTCACAAAAATAGAACCATACAATACTCTTTTATGTTTGATTTCTTTTGCTCAGCATATAATGCCTTCAAAATATTCTTTAAAATCAAAGAAAATATACTCAGTAAGAAAAATGGAAGGTATTCATTCTAGATATTTGAAATCTTTTGTACAAAGGAAAGCAGGAGCTCTCTGGCTACTGGTAAAAATCTGTGATACATAAAGATGAAATAAGATTCTGGTGTGCAAAAATAAACACAGAACAACATGGCCAAAGGGAAGGCTGATGCCTTCAAAGCCGCATAGGTCTACCAAAGGTACGGTAAATATTCTATAGGATAGAGTGTAACAGTGTTTTATATTTCTTCATGCCTGGAAGGGGACTTTCATTAAATGATTCACAGATTAAACTAAACATGATTAAACAGAGGATGTTTTAACTGCAAATTATGCTAATTGCTTCTATTGCAAATATTATATATTTCGTCACTTATAAATTCTGATATACACATTTTATGCAAAAAGAAATAAAATTATTTTCATTTGGGATTTATGCCACTCACTGAAGTTCTTGGTATGCAATGGCAGCTTCTCTTGGATGTTCAAAACAAAAGAATGCCTCTGAAAATCTTCGTACCTAGAAAATTAGGAAAGTGTAAAGTATTAATAAATATTGTTGTTGTTAAGTGCCATCGAGTCGGGTCCGACCCATAGCGACCCTGTACAGGGTTTCCGAGGGTGTAAATCTTTACGGGAGTAGAAAGCCTCATCTTTCTCCCGCGGAGCGACTGGTAGTTTCGAACCGCTGACCTTAAGGTTCGTAGCCCGATTCGTAACCACTAAATATAGTACATTTAAAAATCCAATCAGGCACAGGCTGATGGCAGATAAAGAACGCCCTCCATGATACCTTCCAAACCTCCCTGAGAGAATTAAGTGTCCCTCTCTCATTCTTCCTGTAATGTGAGTAGTTTCTGACCCACAGTGAATGCCGGTGACCGAGTACAACTATCCAACAGGGTTTTCTTGGCTATATAATCCATGCAAAAGCAAATCACCACATCTTTCTCCCTGGGAGCCACTGGATTAGTTCAAATTCCTAACTTTTTTCCCTACCTACTCTAATTTGTACAATAGTATCTATTATTTCTTGACAGCAGTTTGAGCCCACTAGCTGCTCCCTGGAAATCCTATCCAGGGGCGCTATAAGTTGGAATGGACTCAACAATATGTAACAACATGCTAAAAATACACTGATTTTATCAAACAAAATAAAACCCAAACCAGTTGCCATAAAGTCAATTCATGTTCATGTGTGCGGAACAGAACTACTTCATAGGGTTTTCAAGGCTGTGACCTTTCAGAAACTGAGGCAGACAAAGAAAGGTTAATTACTTTGCCAGGATAATATGGCTGAGATTCAAATATAGATTGTTGTTGTTGTTGTTGTTAAGTGCTGTCGAGTCACTTCTGACCCATAGCAACCAAATAAAGATAGAAGAAACAAAAATCTTATGCAGTAAGTCACTTTTCTGTTTTCTTTTGCAGTAGAGCTCTGGTAGAGTAGCGGTTACAAATCAGGCTGTGAGCTGCAAGGTCAGCAGTTCAAAACTACCAGCTGCTCCAAGGGAGAAAGATGAGGCTTTCTGTTCCTGTAAAGATTTCCAGCCTCGGAAACCCTGTACAGGGTCACTATGAGTCAGAACCGACTCCACGGCACATAACAACAATACTCAGTACCAAAAAGTCTCATATAAGGTCTTTTTTATATACTCTTTCCCCACAGTTGCCATGGTGTGGCCGTGTATAAGAATTGAGTCTATTAACTGTATTGTGTTGACAGTAACTAGTGTATGACTGCCACCTGATGGCAGTACAGCTTAACTTTAAGGGAAAGCCAGACAGACAAAGGATTTAAATTCAAATTTAAGTGTTCTGTGTGCATATCTTAATTCTTAAAAAAAATTCATCTATTATGCAACATCAACTACTCAAAATTTAGCAGAGAACTAACTAGGTGGTGGTGGTGGTGGGGAAGCTCCTGAAAATTCAAAATAAACTGTTTTTGGGGAAAGGGGCATTTTATTATGCTTTAGGTGAAGGTTTACACAGAAAACTAGTTTTTCAAGCAATAATTTATACACAAATTATTCTGTGACACTGGTTGCAATCCCCACAATGTGTTAGCACTTGCCACTTTCCCTCCCTGGGTTCCCTGTTTCCATGTGTCGGGTTTCTCTGTCCCTTTCCTTCTTCTAATCTTTGGTTTTGGGCAAACGCTATCTTTCTGTTTGCTTACAGTTGATTACCTTAAGGAACATATACTTTATTTTACAGGCTCAGTTTATTAATTGGCTGAAACGTGGCCTCTGGGAGTGTCTTCAATTTCAAATTAGAAGGCTGTCTTATGGAGTACTGGTGTGGTGCTGTAGGATAATGCACTGGATCTCTAGGTCGGTGGTTCAAACTTACCAGTCGCTCCACAGTAACCTAATACAATGTTGATGGCACTTAACAATAACTTAAGGCAACATAGCTTTAGGGGATTCCTCTAGTCTCTATCAGACCAGAAAGTCTGTTTTTTAAATTTGAATTTTGTTCTACACTTTTCACTCATTCTAACTAGGATCTTTAACTGCAATCCTGATCAGAGAGGTTGGTAGTGGTAGTTGGGCTTAGAGGAGGCTGTTGTTCATGTGGACCATTAATCCTCTGAGTAAACTGCTTTCTTGAGTCTTCAAGTTTATTCATTCTCCTTTGTTCCAAATGAGAAGAGACCAACATTTATTTCTTAGATGGATGCACAAAAGCTTTTCAGATCCCAAAATCTATTCCCCAGACTAGGACGTAGAATTTTTAAATTTATGAACTAAGTGTGTTTTGTCAATTGACCTAGATGTCCTCTAAGAATATGGTCCTGAGCTTTCAAGTCCAGTTAAGTTCAGCCCAATGTCTAAGTAGTTTTTGTAACTGTACCCTCTAGGTGATCTATTATATGTATATACATATATGAGTATGCACACAGCTTTTACAAATTTGTATGTAGAAATATTCATACCCATCAGTTGCTTCTTGGAAACCCTGCACATGGTCAATATGGGTTGGAACTGACTCGACAGCACATATCAACATCTGGACTCTTGGTGTGGTGCTATAGCATCAGCACTGGACTGCGAACCACAAGATAGGCAGTTCAAACCCATCAGCTGTTCCTTGGAAACCCTATGTTGTTGTTGTGAAGTGCTGTCGAGTCGGTTTCAACCCATAGCGACCCTGTATAGGGTTTCCTAGGAGCAGCTGGTGAGCTTGAACTGCCGACCTTACAGTTCAAATGTCTTTGCAGTGTGGCACATTAACCTACAACAGTGCCACACCAGGACTCCTGGAAACCCTATACAGGGTAGTTATTACTTGGAATTGACTCAATGGTACTTAACAACTACATCATCATCTAGTCCTGGTATGGCACTGTACAGTAAGCACTGGACTGCTAAGCTCAAGTTAAGCAGTTCAAACCCATCAGTTGCTCCTTGGAAAACCTATACAGGGTCACTATGAGTAGTGACTTAACAAAAAGATATCTAGTTAGTGATTTTCCCTCCCTCCCCCTCTAATCCCCAGAAATCATCAAATAGTTTCTTTCTGTGAATAAATTTACTCTTGACTTTTTATAATAGTGATCTCATAATATTTGCCCTTCTGTGGTTGACATATTTCACTCAGTATGTCCACTAGATTCACCCACATGGTGAGATATTTCGAGGATTCATTGTTATTCATTATTGTTACATAGTATTGCAATGCATGTACGTACATTTTGTTGATGGGCATGTAATTTGTTTCCATCTTTTTGCATGTCTTTTTGTCACAGTTAGTTCTCTAGGATATATACCTACAAGTACTTTCCTAGAGTATATAGAATGTCTATTTCTAGCTTTCTAAGGAAACACCATAGTATTTCACATAGTGGTTATACCATTTTGCAGTCCACAAGTAGTGGACAAGAGTTCCAATCTTCCCAGAGTATAATCCATTGGATAATGTATAAGGCACCAGCATTTGCTTTTCTGTCTTTATTTTGATCACTGCCATTATTACTGGGGGTGAGATGGTATCTCATTGTAATTGTGGTTTACATCTCTCTTATGGCTAATGATCTCAAGTATTTTTTCATGCGTTTGCCATAATATGTTCTTTGATAAGTGTCTGTTCATGTTCTTTGCCTCTGTGGCCCAACTGACTTTTACATGTTGATTTTGTACTTGGTAATTTCACTGAATCCTTCTATTAGCTATATTAGCTTGCAAGATAAAAGATGCAACTCAAGCAAGGATGGATAACTTGAGTAAGGTTAGTGACCTGTGGGATTTCCATAGCAGTGTGACTTCAATAATGCCTGTTTTAAGTCTGTGACTCCAAAATACACTCCACATTAATCTTGCTTGTGTTGTCGAGTTGGTTCCGACTCACAGTGACCCTGTGAAGGGTTACAGAGGAGTGGCTGGTTAGTTTGAACTGGTGACCTTGCAGTTCAAATAGACCATGGGGTCCAGTGCTTATCCTACAGCGACACACCAGGATGGCACCTAACAACAACAGAGAATCATCGGATTAAAGCTGACTGCATTAACTGAAATTCCTAACAGAAATGAAATCAGTGTTTGTTGTGCTGCCGCTAGGTGTGTCAAGCCAGTTCTGACTCATAGCTACCCTATGGTGTGACTATCCCCTAACCTGTGCTTTACTGTCCCTTCCCTCCTGTCCCTTCTAGCCATCAAAAAATGGTTTTTCTTTTAGTATGGAAATATTTTAAGCTATTGTTCTTATGTATTATTTGCCCTTTTGTGACTAATTTCACTTAGCATAATGTCCTCAAGGATTATCCATGTTACAAAGAGGTGTTTTGCAGCTTCATCATTATTTTTCAAGGTAGCATAATATTCCATTGTGTGTATGTACCATAATTTGCATATCTATTCTTCCACTGATGGGCACTTAGGCTGTCTCCATTTTTTGGTATTGTGAATAGTGCTGTGAGAAACATTGGTGTGCATATATCTACTCGTATTCTGGCGTGTATTTCTTGTGGATGTATACCAAGTAAAGGAATTGCTGGGTCATAAGATATTTCTATTTCCAACTTTCTGAGGAAGTATCATACCATCTTCCAGAGTGGATGAAACATTTTACACTTTCACCAGCAATGTAGCAGTGTCCTAGTCTCTCCATATCCAGCATTTATTGTCCTTTGCTTTTCTGAACTTCACTCTTATTGCTGGTGCGAGATGATAGCTCATAGTTTTGATTTGCATCTCTCTAGGAAGTCCTAAGGAGCTCTGGTAGCGTACTGGTTACAAATTGAGCTGTGAACGTTAAGGTCAGCAGCTAGGAACTACCAGCTGTTCTGCGGGAGATAGATGAGGCTTTCTGCTCCCGTAAAGATTTACAGCCTCGGAAACCCTGTACAGGGTCGCTATGAATTGGAACCGACTCCACAGCACATACCCACCAGGGAGTCCTGGTGTGGCACTGTGGGCTAATGTGTCAGACTGCAAAGTCGTCTGAATGGCAAGGTCGGTGGTTCAA